TTAGGTGCCATCGAGTTAGTTCCGACTCATAGCGATCCTATATACGACAGAACAAAACACTGCCTGGACCTGCGCCATCCTCACAAAAGTTGCTATGTTTGAGCCCCTTGTTGCAGCCACTGTGTCAATCCATCTCATTGAGGGTCTTCCTCTTTTTCACTGATCCTCTACCAAGCATGACATCCTTCTCCAGGGACTGGTCCCTCCTGATAACATGCCCAAAGTACGTGAGAGAAAGCAGTGGCATCACTGAGGGATGCAGGGGGTGTGAACCATACCCCCTGACACTTTCAAGAGGGAGTGACACCAAAATGACCCCAGGGTCTGCAGCAGCAGAAAGTGGGCCAGCATTGCCAGGGGAGGGATTACTAAGGCAGTGATGTCACTAGAATTGGTATCACCCATCACCCAGTGCAGTAATCGTCACAAACCCTCAATCACCTGCAGTCACTAAGGTTGGTTTCACCCAGTATGCTAAGTGGTCACCCACACCCCATCTCCTGCCAGTCAGGGTGTGGCCAGGCAGAGGGTCTCTGCGTTGGCCAACAGGCAAGGGGAGGAGCTGCAGGGAGCCATGGGGGGTGGGGCCAGGAGGGGTGGGGTGGCATGAAGGTGGGGCAGGGCCAGGCTGCTTCCACTCAGACAAAGTCTCGCCATCCTCACTTCTAAGGAGGATTCTGGCTGTACTTCTTCCAAGACAGATTTGTTCACTCTTCTGGCAGTCCATGATATATTCAATATTCTTCACCAACACCATAATTCAAAGGCATCAATTCATCATATATACATACAATGAAATTCCAAAAAACCCAAACCCATTGCCATAATGGATTCCGACCTACAGTGACCCTATAGGACACAGCTGAACTGCCTCATACAGTTTCCAAAGCTGTAATCTTTACGGAAGCAGACTGCCACCATCTTTCTCCTACTGAGTATCTGGTGGATTTGGACCACCGACCTTTTGGTTAGCAGCTGAGCACTTAACCACCATGCCACCAGGGCTCCTTTACAATGGAATTACTCAGTCATAAAGACAAATGAAGTTCTGATACATGCAACGACATGGATGAAACCTGAAAACATTATGCTAAGTGAAATAAATCAGTCACAAAAGAGCAGAGATTATATGATCCTACGTACACAAAATATCTAGAACAGGCTAATGCACACAAACCATAGTTTGTTAGTGACTACCAGGAGTAGAAGGAGTAAACCCAGGTGGGGCAAACACTTAAGGGCTCAGTTGCTAACCAAAGGCTAGCACAGCTCGAAACCACCCCGTGGCTCAACGGGAGAAAAACTTGATGATCGGCTTCTGTAAAGATTACAGCCAAGAACACCTTACGGAGCAGTCCTACTCTGTCACGTGGGGTAGCTTTGAGTTAAAATCAACTCGACTGCACCTAACAACAACCAGGAGTAGGAGGGAAGAAGAAAGGGAGTGTCACCGTTTAGGTAGCACTGAATTTCTGTTAAGGGTGATGGAAAAATTCAGAAATGGATAAGGGTGATAGTGATACAACATGATGAACAAGATTAATGTCACTGACCAAGAGGCAGTTGTTCGAACAGAACAAAGGGATAAAGCATGGTTTAAAATCAGGAAAGGTGTGTGTCAGTGTTATATCCTTTAACCATACTTATTCAATCTGTGTGCTGAGCAAATAATCTGAGAAACTGGATTATATGAAGAAGAACGCGGCATCAGAACTGAAGAAGACTTATTAACAACCTGCGATATGCAGATGACACAAAGTTGCTTGCTGAAAATGAAGAGGACTTGAAGCACTTACAGCTTTCAGTATGGATTACACATTAAAGTAAAGAAAACAAAAATTCTCAAAACTGGACCAAAAAACAACATCACCATAAATGGAGAAAAGATTGAAGCTGTCAAGGATTTCATTTTATTTGAATCCAAAATCAACGCCCATGGAAGCAGCAGTCAAGAAATCAAACAACATATTGTATCAGGCAAATCTACTGCAAAAGACCTCTTTAAAGTGTTAAAAAACAAAAATGTCACATTGATGACTAAGGTATGCCTGACCCCAAACCATGGTATTTTCAATCGTCTCATATGATGCAAAAGCTGGACAATGAATAAGGAAGACCGAAGAAGAACTGATGCATTTGAATTATGGTGTTTGTGAAGAACAGATAATATGCCATGCACTGCCATATGATGAACAAACAAATCCTTCTTGGAAGTACAGCCAGAAGACTCCTTAGAAGGGAGGACGGTGAGACTTCATCTAACGTACTTTGGACATGTTATCAGGAGGCACCATGCCTGGTAAAGTGGAGGGTCTGTGAAAAAGAGGAAGACCTTGAACAAGATGAACTGACACAGTGGCTGCAACAATGGGCTCAAATATAGCAAGGATGTGAGGATGATGCAGGACTGGGCGGTGCTTCATTCTGTTGTACACAGGGTCTCTATGAGTTGTAACTGACTCAACAGCACCTAACAATGTCACTGAATTGTACATGTAAAAGATGTTGAAATGGCAAATGTTTTGTAATATATTTTACCACCACGACAACAAAAGTCTATGTCTTTCACCCTGTTATGGGGTACTAAAAATGGTACAGTACTACGAATTATGATTACCAAAAACCAAACCCACTACCATCAATTTGATTCTGACTCATAGTGACCCTACAGGACAGAGTAGGACTGACTCATACAGTTCCCGAGGCTGTAAATCTTTATGGAAGCAGACTGCCACATCGTTGTCCCAAGGAGTGGCTGGTGGGATCGAACTGCCTGGTGGGCTTGAACCACTGGCTTTTCAGTTAGTAGCTGAGCGCTTTAACCACTGCGCCACCAGGGTTCTTCTGAATAATGATTAGACACTTATCAAATGTAAATTTCACATAAACACAGCTGTCCTCAGAACCCTATCAGAAAATGGAAAATGGATAACAGTAATATCCAAGCAGGGATGTGCTGTACACAACACAGAACAAATACACTTTGTCTTAGGGTTGCATCTAGAAGAGCGACCAAAATCTACCTGGACATGTAAAATACACAAACACACAAAGAATTTACTGAGCTGCCTCACCTGACTGGTCTGCATTATTTGCTCTACCATCTTCTACAGAAATCTATACATAATCAACATAAATTTACAGGATTTCCCCATGAAATGTTTCCATATAAAAAGCCAAAAATACTAAAATATACAAATGCGATAGTAATTATAAAATATCTACTGAGTCACAAAATGTTTCAAGTTTCTAAGAAAGTTGTAAATGTGGGATATAAAGTTTACTGCATCATGTATTATTACAAATTCCTAGGCCTAGAAGTCATACACTTTCTCAGTGCCCTCATACCCTATAAAGTAAAAATGAATAGAATACTTTGCTGAAACAAGAAGAATTACAGAGCCAATAAACTGAATATTAACTATAAAGATGTTTGTAACTTTATTCGATCAATGGTAGAACTACGAAGTAAAAATATAGTTTTTAATATAAACATCTTGTTTCACTTAACCTTGGCTATTCCTGAAAAGCCTGTACAAATAAATAATCACTACGCTATCTAACTTACATCTGGTACCTCTTGGCAATTCAAGTTCCATTTGGTAGTACTGGAGACAGTCTTACAGCTTTGAAGCTAAAAGGCAGGTTAAGGATCTACCACCCTCAAGGTTAGTAAACTGTGGTCCAAGAATATCAAATGACATGCCCACGGGTACATACTTGGTTAGGTTCCTGTGATTATGTTGGAGTTTATCACTAGTTCAGGTATCAAATTATAAATCAGTAAACATATATGCCATTTTACATTAGGCAGAGGGTTTTTCTATGTTTGGATTTGATGGTTTTACTCGCTCTGCATATTTGTTAGGCCAGTATTTGCAAATAACTTTAGAGTCTATATACCTATATTACTGAATTTTCTATGGTATAATCCTATGCTATATCAAACTAAATGAGGCTAGTTTTCAGACCTGAAAAAAAATTAGAGGGCTCTTAGAGGTCTTCCTATATACAAGAAAATTAAAATCCAGAGAAGACATTGGTAGTTCAGTGGTACAATTCTCTCCTTCCATGCAGGAGACCAGAGTTCAACTCCTGGCCAATGCACCACATGTGCAGTCACCACACTGTAAGTGGGGTTTTGCGTGTTGCTATGATGCTCAACAGGTTTCAGTGGAGCTTCCAGATTAAGATGGGCTAGAAAGAAAGACCTGGTGATCTACTTCCAACAGTCAGCCATTGAAAACCCTATGGATCACAAAAGTCTGATCAGCAACTGATCAGAGGGATGGTGGAGGACTAGGCAGTGTTTTTTTTTTTTTCCATTGTGCTTGGGATTGCCATGAGTCAGGGGCTGACTCACAGCAGCTAACAACAACAACATCCAGAGAGGTTAAGAGTCTTACACTAAAATTCAACTTAACTAACGATGGTAAGACTATGTTTTAATTATTTTATCTTTTTTCAATTTGGAAACCTAAATGGGCTATCACCATCAACAACTATTCTAGATATACTTAAAATATTCCAGAAATAAAAAACTGTTACTTACTATATTTGGTTTAAGATAGATCAAGACATTTGACATTGAAATAGCCAAACAACAGACTTTAAGGCGCAGTCCCTAAGTCAAGTACCCTGACTATATAATGCAGATTCAGTTGATGTTACTTCCGTCTTTGCTACTCTGGTCCACAAGTCCTAAAATCACTTTTTCACTTACAGGCAAAGTTTAGAGACTGAAGCTAAGTCTCCCACCACACATCTTCCATGCCCACACATCCAATCAAGACTGTGTCTTAAGAACACTATCTCGTGTACTAGCTCTTACCATAAATAAACGTATGTAAATGTGCAAGGTCTAAAGAATGTGAAAAACAAATACACAAACTGAATGACATTTCCCCCAAAGCAAACATAAAGTGACATTTATGTTAACTATGACGCAAAAAGCAACATGAATGACCTTAACAATAAGAAAACAAATTAAGTATTCTTACCTGTCCTGTGACTGTTCTTCATACATCCTCTCCTTGCCTTCTTTAAAGAGTCTTATTGCCCGTTTGGACTTTTTCATTAGACTATCAATGTAGATTTTAAAATATTCATTCTCACTGAGTTGGGCAAGTTTCTGGTTGTCATCATATTTACTTAATATAAGCCGCAAATGCTGATATGTATCAGGTAAAATATCAAGTATATATGGTGGGCTATTTTTCAACTGAAGTTTGGGATTTTGGCACAGTCTCACCTAAAAAAAAAAAAGACAGAAATAAAACATTTTCATATCAACTGCAATACCTTATTTCACAGAAAAATAATAAATTTATAGAACTAAGTACTGCTTATTCATTTTCTATAGAAAAATTATCTTTATTACTACTATATACAAAGAACTGGTAAATATTCACATCTGTCCTAATGCAATTAAATCCTATTTTCTTCTCCCATTCAGTCTTTTCTATTATCACTCTTACTTTCGACCCCTAATGCTTTTGTTCTCTCTTCTATAACATCCGATTGTTCATAGCTTCAGAGAACACCTGTGTGCTAATCACTGTATACCACTAATAGTCTTATTTTAAATAAAAATGAGGAAATGGGCCTCTTCTGCTGGCAACCAGTATCTCACATTTAAACATTATTTTACTACGTTGAACACTCAGCTAAAACTCTTTCATAGATTTTAATTAATGTTTTGGCATATTGTTCCTGAACCCTCAGGAGAATAAAACAAAGAGGTACAATTTTAATAACTGAATCATTAAGCAGTAAATAGGTCAGGCCAGAACTAGTCTTTTCCATCTCCCCATACTTTCTACCACACCCATAAACGTATTATGTAAGGGTTCAGTCATCCATCAGGTGGCACTTAACCACTGGGGCATTCAGGGCTGCCTGCAGAATTGAAGATATGCTCTGCCAGCAAGAAAAAGTAGTTGTTCTACTATATTCATTTGTGTGTATTCACGGGATTTATCCCAGAGAAGTCCAGCTCATTCTTACTCCTCTACTTAAGAAAAGAAGAATCCTGAAATTTGGAAGAAGAAAAAAATTAAGTAAATCACTGAGAATTGCACAAGAATATACACACTCTAACTGCACAGCACTCTTATAAAAAGCAGTAGGCAGTAGGTACTCATAAAGGGGTTTACAGCAAGCCCCGGTTGTGCAGTGGTTAAGCACTCAGCTGCTAACCGAACGGTCAGCAACTCAAACCCAATAGCCACCCCGAGGGAGAATGTAGCAGTCAGCTTCTGTAAAGATTTACAGTCTTGGAAACCCTATAAGCCAGTTCTACTCTGTCCTACAGGGTTACTATGACTCAGAATCAACTTGACGGCAAGGGGTAGGTACAGCGAAGCTAATGAAGCTTCTTAAACGTTAGGGTCCCTCACACACTTGGCCCTCTTCTAAGGCCTGAATCATAATTTTTTTTAAATAAAATTTTCAAGAACAAGATATTATATGCACAATTGGTTAAGATTACTGTCTTTTTCCATTATAACTTCTCTTTTGTTATACTTAACCTCCTACTGGGTGGCACTGGTGTGGCCACAGGCATTTGTGTGACATGGCTAATGTGAATTTGAATTGGAGAAATGTTTAGTTGGGGCTTAGTGGAAGACAGAGTCACTTCTGTAAACAGTTAATTACTGTCAGCAGTCCTGCTGAAATAACGTCTTCAGGCCTACTTCAAGTGCCCACAGTACCAATTAGCCCAGCAGGGGGACAGGATGGTCCAACTCACATTTGGCAACTGACCGTGTACGATGGCACCCAGCACTGGAAACACGTGCACCATGGAAGTGATCGAACCAGTCTACATTATTTCTCTGGATTTCTATGTTTGTGGATATAGCAGCTTCTAAAAATTTATAATTTCTTGTGACTGTTTTCTCATTCTAAACAAAACTGATTTTCATATCCAATTTTATATTTGTACTTTGCATTTGTATTTTTCTTTAAAAGGACCCTTCCAAATTGTTACGTTTCAGATTTCACAAAACATGGATGTGCCATTGGATACTTATAAAAGCGCTTGGGCCTAAAACAAAACAGCTAAATGGTAATAATTTCAAGAATTACAAACATAATAAATCAAGGAAACAACAAAATGAAAACAAGTACCCTTATACTGAATATATCTTACTTACTTTCTTTAAGAAATTACCACATCATTTTTTTTGTGAAGAGAAGAATCCAGTTCAAATTAAACAAGCCTCAGCCCCTTGTCCCTAGTTTAAGGCAACCATTTCTCACATTAATCTAGAGCATTCTCACATCTTCCTTTGTATACACTGCCTAAAGCAGAACTGTTTAGCACACAGCACATAATACATGAATGAATGGATAGATCGATGAATTGATTAATAGATTCAAGAACACTTGATGTGTACATTGTACACAAATATTTTGATTGTATTATTTTCTTTATTTTCAGGATTAAACTATGATAGTATTCCAATTAATAACCCAAACATGATTTCCTAAAGAAATTCTTATAAAGGAAGGACAGCATCTCAATTATTAAATAATGCCGAATTTTTACAAAGATATAATTAAATGAGCTGACAAAGTTCCCCCTCCTCTTTTTTTTTTTTTCCTGATACTTTTCTATAACTAGAGACACTCATTTTGCCCTAAAGAATGATTAAGTCCCAAATATGACAATGATATAACAAACCCTGGTTGAAATAGGAGACAGTTTTTCAATTCTTTAGATTAAAAGATACTATCAAAAGTACACATAAATTTCACAAATTCAGCAACCAACATCCTACAGCAGACACAACTTAAACTCAGCAACATTAAACTTGGTTAAAAATGTTACATAGATAAATTATTAACTTCTAGTTAGAAACCAAGTAGCTTCAAATTGATCTCCTCCAACGGTGAATTTTTTAACTAATATATAAAAAAAAAAGTCTCTAGGGCATTTTTTTCAGATATTGCAAATAAATTTTCTTTAATAGAAAATTTAAGTTTTACAGATTTTTAATTCATTATTCTCTACGTGATTTTTTATTACATTTGCTTTATTTAAAATTGTAGCTCTACCCGGGAATTTAATGCTTTATTCAGTAAAACTGTTTGAGTAACTACTATATACCTGGTACAGAGCTTAGTGCCAAGACATTACAGATGATTAGGACATACTTCCTGCTTCAAGGAGTCTGGCAGAAGAGACCTAGTTCTGTATAATTAACTTAGGAACAATATAATTCTTGCTGTAAGGGATCTGAGTAAAGATCCCGTCCAGTCCCTTCATTTCCAGACAAAGAAACTAAGAACCACAAAGATTAAGGGACTATTATAAAATCATTAATCCAACACAAGAGCCTGTATCTTCTGAATCTTCGGCTGATCTCCTTTCTACATATATCACGATTTAATTAGAATTAGGCATATAATGAATGATGCTGCTAAACTCATTTACATTTTTATTTTATTCTATTTGCAAATTACATGAACTTCAGGAATTATTTTTTTAATTCAAAAAACTGATTACGTGTAAGGCACTGTTTCAGGCCCTGGGGAACACAAAAGGAATACACCACAGACCTGCCCCCTCAAGGAGGTGGAAGACCCAAACCCACAACTGACAAGTTGATTCCCACTCACAGCAACCCTACAGGACAGGGTAGAATTGCCCCATAGGGTTTCCAAGGCTGTAGTCTTTATGGTAGCAGACTGCCACATCTTTCTCCTACGGAATGGCTAGTTGAACCTCCGACCTTTCGGTTAGCAGCCAAGTGCTGAACCACGGCGCCACCAGGGCTCCTTAGTGGGAGACAAGTGGCTCAAAAAAAATTAAAGTAGAATTTAAGTACTGTAATGGAGAAGACTACAAAATACTACAGAAGAAAGGAAAAACCTTACTCATCTACATGAGATTGTCACAAAAGGCGTATCTGAATCTGTCAAAAGGGAATATTCCAGGCAGAGGGGTGCGGAAAGCTTAAGAGGCACAAGAGAGCACAGCATGTTAAGAAAGAAGTAAATGGTCATTCGTGAGGTTTGAGTATAGGAAGTCTGTGGGTGAGTGGTACCAAATCTGCAACGGGCTAGGGTCAGTTCATCAAGGCCCTTGTAAACCACACCATTTTCTAAAATTGTACTTGGGGAAGTGCAACATACAACACTGAGCTGCTAGATACTGCTGAGTGTGCAGTTCATCAGTTGGATTAGTATTAAACCCTGTGATTTACGACAGCTCCTGCCGAAAATGAATAACCCTACACTAGAACTACGACTTGTAAGCAGGTCAAATTCAATTCAATTCAATAAATATTTACTGAGTGCCTGCTATGTGTAAGAAAGTACTGAGAAAGGCTGGGAAAGAAAAACTGCCTTTCTAAAAGCACTATATGGGGCGGGGGGTTGGGGGGGTGGGAATCAAGCTCACCACGAAGTTCAAGTTCAGATTCAAGTGACGTAGATCTCTTCCAGAAATATCTAAGTCTCTTCCCGGAATGAAAGCTGGTCCAACACAGAAGCGCCCTCACAAAGAACAAATCTGCACTCACATCATATACTGACTGGTGCACCAACCAGTGTGTAAAAGGACCCAGTTTGATAACAATGTTACTCTTCTTTTGTGAAAAGATAAAACATTTAGTATTGGATTTAGGCTTACAATTTCATTATAGTCATGTAACTGGAAGGATTCTAGAGCTAAAGAAGACCTAGGAGATCACCAGGACAAACTCTCTCATTTTCACATGACAATACTAAAACACAGAAATGAAACCTAGCTAAGATCACTGATCAGAACCGTGAAGTCTGGACTTACAAGTCAGGTACTCTCTCCATTACAATACATAACTGCTTGCTTTACTTGCTTAAATTTTCTGATGTTTTTTAAGTTTTGGTTTTTTTTCTTGTTGTTAAAAATGTTAGTTTTATCTAACTTACGACTGTTGTAAACACATATGTATTTATCAAAGCATATGTGATAGTTAATTTTATATATCAACTTGGCTAGGCGATGGTGCCCAGTTGTTTGGTGTCTGGAAAAATGCTAGGCTAGATGCTTAAAAAAAAAAAAAAAGTAGATGTGAGTAAGTTAGTTGGCCTTAAGTAAATCAGATGACCCTGCAAAGCGTGTGGGGGGGTATGCGGGGGGAGGCAGGGTTTCTCATCCAATCAACTGAAGGACTAAAAAGCAAAAAGGGAGTTTTCCCTAGGGAGTATTCTGTCCCCAGACTATAAGCAGACATTTTGCCAAAACTCCTTCACTCTTCCCAT